CAATCTTCTGGAGAGCAATGGTAAGCTGCGTAATTTTTATTATTTTTTTGTAAACTTGGTAGATCCCTTTTAAACAATATCGCTCTTTAGCGCCCTTCAATAATTTTTCCTCTTTTTTTTCATTATTTTTTTATAACCATTCGAGTAGCTCCCACAACACAAATTTGGTCCCAAATTTTAATGTATTTTAGGCTGAAAAGATAAAATTTAAACAAAAGATGACATTCGATAGATAGTCCACTCGTTGAAGTTAAACTTAAACATTTGGATTTTTTGCACAATTTTTACTCAGCGCTATGTAAATTTCATTCGAATTTCCCGCGAAACATTCATTAAGAATTCCCAGAAAATTCGATTATTTAAAAATTATTCACAATAATAGTTAATTTATTAACATTTCGATGGAAAATGTTCAATAAATTTCCTAAATTCATCTGTAAAATTACTAAAAATCGGATTTTCCAATAAAAATAAAATTCCTCAGACCCGTAATTAAAATTGTCAACATTAAAAGTAAACCCTAAAATAAAATTCTGATAATTTATCCAAAAAATTGGGGAAAAAAAAATGTAAAAACGCTAGACTTCCCACGAATTAAATAAATATTGATAAATCCCTAGCTATTCTCACCAGCTTCCCACTTGTATTGACCAAACGGCTGATTATTGTGAATATTATTTACAGCCATGTACGAGTAGACACGTGGACCACGTGCGATAGGTAAATATCTTCCATAGTGCGACAACACGAGGGCAATGACTGGTCTAGGGGGTGGATGAATTGGACTGTTGTATCCTTTGTTATCCATCAGCCAATCGAGTGTCGTGATTGCCGTTGCAACTGCATTCGCCTGTACATCGTGATGGTATTTTTCATTTTTTATGTTTGATGGAGACACTAGGGTCTCCACGGCTGAATGAATTTTGACGGGTGACGATGTGGGGCTGTACTCGTCCTCGATAATTTCATACACTGGCCTCGATGTTTCCACCTCGGTTGGACGATTTGATACCGGGATCAACGGATTTTGCGCTTGGTACAGAGAAAAAAAAAAGCCCAAAAAGAAAAAACAAATAAACGAAAAAAACAACGAAAAATGGAGGAAATTCAATGAGAGAAAAATTTTGAATTGAATTTTTTCTGTCGGATGTTCGCATAATGGAATTTTTATCGCAATGCTCAGAGTATTTTTATCTCTGGAATATGTTTCGAATAGTGGTGAAGTTTTTTTAATGTCAGTTATTGATTACAGGAAAGAATCGGGCCTTCAATTAATTAACAGCTGACGCCTGAAGGTTCTACATGAATTTCTGGATAATAAACTCTAATCAAAATTTCGGCGGAGACTTTACAGGTAAAAATTTATGTGGGGTAAAGGGAATTTATCAAACAAATTATTGATTTTTTTTTGTTTTTTTAAGGATTTTTCTGGAAAATTTAAGTAAAGGCTGTGGAATAGTTGAATTAGTTGATTTTTACATAAAAAATATCTTAAAAATCACTTAAAGAACAAATTCAGAAAATTTTTGGTGAATTCATTTCCAAATATTAGAATTTCACTTAAAAAGTCATTACTTGAAAATAATATCAATAATTGTTGAATTTTCGCGCTAAATGAAAGACTCAGACTCAATTATTAGCGAATATCTCAGAATTGAATTAAGATAACGAATTTTTCATGTAAACATTTTTTATAGTAAAAAATGAGACCTACAAAAAAGGTATCAACAAAAAAATCGTTATCTCCCTTTCATTCCGAGATATCGGATAAAAACTGGTCTCGAAAAAGATGTGCTCATCCCAATTTATCGCTTAACAACAGAATTTTTAATTGCAAATGAGTGAAATTGCTCGGGGAATTCCGTAACTAGTGCAATTGAGGTATAAAATTTGAAAGATTAATTTAAATATAAAATAATGTAATTACTTGTTGAATTTTCGCGCTAAATGAAAGACTCAGACTCAATTATTAACGAATATCTCAGAATTGAATTAAGATAACGAATTTTTCATATAAACATTTTTTATAGTAAAGAATGAGACCTACAAAAAAGGTATTAACGAAAAAATCGTTATCTCCCTTTAATTCCGAGATATCGGATAAAAACTGGTCTCGAAAAAGATGTACTCATTTGACAACAGAATTTTTAATTGCAAATGAGTGTAATTGCTAGGGAAATTTTGTAACTAGTGCAATTGAGGTAAAATTTGAAAGAGTGTTTTATTTAAATATAAAATAATGTCATTACTGTAGTGAACAGGTAAAAGATCGATTCCCATTTCTGTCTGGAAACCCTCGTAGCCGTAATGATAACCGAGACGTTGTGTATTTCGTGGTGGCTGATACCCTGGGGAGGATGTCTCGACATTTCTCGATGGAACTGGTGATCGATTTGATATCGGTGATGCCTCAACAAGCCAAACCAGGCTCATCTGTGAATGAAGTAACACCAAAACCAGATATGACTCTCCAAGTTTATCCAGAGTTTAACTCACTAGGGGAATATACTCTCAGCTTTTCGTTTGAAAATTGAGTTTGGCTTAATACCAACCACCAACGAGAACATTCTGACCATTTCGTGTCTCTGACTGTTACTGAGTTTGGACAATTGTTAAGGCATTTATATACCTCTGGATGCAATAGCTAATGGAATTGCGGACTGGTGAGGATTCCACTAATGGACGAGCCTTGTTGGACAACGGAAGTGCTTGCCTATTTTCGAGAAAAGTTCATTTACTCTCAGTCTTTTCTCTTTCACTCTTTTCACTAGGACATTTTATCCATTTAACATTCCTCCAGCTTTCACTTTTACCCGTATTTATTCGTTGAAATTGGAAGTGGAAATGTCGATGCTGATATTGGATAATAAATATTGGTCGACCTGATCTACGACTTTTGGGGAGCAGGGGACCTTTTGCCACATCGAATTCCTTCATCAACTGTCGACCAGCGGTGATTTCCCATAAATTCACCTTACAGATGGTATTAGAATGCTCGGAGGGAACGGAAGGGTGGAAATGAGGGAGTCAAAAATCTCACCCTCAGCTCAGGGTAAGGGTTAAAGGTTTTTTTGGGGGAGGAAAGTCCCTTTTTTTTCTAAATATATGGCGCCAAATCGTCCACGTATGGGGTGTTATCATTGGAATATATTTATATATACATAAATACATATATATATATATATAAATAATATGTATAATATATAATATATATAATAATATTTAATATTTTTATTTTTATATTATATAATACTAAATTTATTAAACTTTAAATTATTTTTTATATAAATTTTTACTTTTCCCTTTCTTCTTTTTGAAATTCTATATATGTATTTATTATATTGGAAATAACCGTGAATATATATATATATACATATATCATATTATATAGATATATTTTGATATGCATAGCGCCAAAAAAAGCTGACAAAAAACGTTACATGCTTTTTTTTAAAAGGGATTGAGTTTTTTCATCAAACTGTCGCTCTCAAATACACTTGCGCCAGTTAATAATAATAATAATAATAAAATGATAAAAATATTAATAATAAAATGATCAACACTGATCGTAGGTTTTTTGAGAGAGGAAAGTGATTTTTTTTCCAAAATCTAGTTTTCGTCTCCAATAATAATTAATTTTCCAAGTATTTATCACATAAATAATAAATAGTAATAAAATCGAAAATTAAAAAAAGGCGCGAATGAATAACAAAATTTTACGCACGACCTGGGGGTCAGATTTGGATTTTTGAGGGAAAAAAGTGGATTTTTTCCAAAATTGAGTTTTTTTTTTATAACAACATTTGATTTTCCATGAAATTGCGCCAAAGATGATGCCAAAATCGAGAAAAAATGTGATAAGAAAAAAAAAATTCACCGCCGAGCTGAGGGTTGAATTTTTTTTTCAAAAATCAATTTTTTTCACTCAAAAACATTTGATTTCCCCTAAATGTGCCCCAAAGATGACAATAAAATCATTTTTAAAAAATACAAAAATAAAAAAAAATTTCTACCCTCGAGCTGATGTCGGCAACTTACCAAAATCAAATTACCACCCCCACCCTTTCCATCAACCAGTAACTAACCATCAGATGATAACCTAGAAATCAATGTTACCCACTGTCGGCAACGACTTCAAATCTAGTGAAACAAAAAAATCCCTAAACACCGGAAGTTGTCAGCCCTGAAAAATTCCCCTAGTTCTCCAACTTCAGACTTCTTCCGAACTTCAATACACGGTGGCTGATGGAAGGGGATAAAACTGGTTAAAATTCCTCCAAAAAGACGCTCGATCTATCCATTAAATCCACAGGTAATAATCAACAATAAACCCCAATCAATATTCATCAATCCTCAGCCATTGATCGTTATTCATCTGTTAAGATTCATAACTCATTATTTTCAACGTTCTATCAAGTGTTGGCGAGTGCTCAAGGATCCGGCATTGCATGGGGCGCGTCTAGCGTGGCGTCTGATTAAATTGTAAGACTGGGAAAAAATCAATTTTTTATTGTCAAATTGATATGATTGAAAATTTTATCATTCCAGGTGTTTAATTTTGGGTCTAGGATCTCTTTGAGAGGTCCCAGACAGAATGGCCCTCCCAGAGAAATACAAACAAGTAGCACTCGCGGCTTCTAGTATGGTGGCTACTAACCGTAAGTTATTTCAATTACTCGCAATAATTCCAAAACAATTACTCATTAAAAATTGTTATATCAGTCATTAATTGGTGATTTCTCATCTACAGAACGTTTGAGAGCTTCTGGAGGGGGTGGAGGAGGATCTGGAGGAAATGTGAGTTCAGATAATTTTTCAACTGGCCTTTTTTCAATTTTTCTACATTTCAATTATTATTTCAAGATATTTTTATAATTTTTGTTAATTAATCAAATTTAACTCTCGTTAAAAAACGATTAATCTCCAAAACTATTGATTTCATGAAAAAATAAGAGAATACCTTTTTTCTCAGGAATTTAACGATCTACAAAAAAGGTCTCTTCGTGTTTTCACCTGGAGTCGATAGTTTACGAGATAAAGTGCTAATTACGAAATTTGGCCACTGATATTTATACTTTCTCTAAAACCTCAACTTCACATGAATTTTCAAGTGTTGTAATGAGTAAATTCTTATGTTACAGAAAGATTCGGGGAGTCCATTCATCCAAACTCCCCACGGTCACCCAGGATTCACTCCTCAAAAAGTTGGAAAAAATGCTGCGGTAAAATTCCTTCAAATAAAATTATTTAAAAATTCTCTGAATCACCAAGAGACTAACGATGGAATAATTGCAGGCGGATCCTCGACTCCCGAAGCCCCCGAAGCCCCCAGAAAAGCCCCTGATGCCGTACATGAGGTACAGTAGAAAAGTATGGGACCAGGTGAAGGCCCAGAATCCAGAGTTAAAGCTCTGGGAGATTGGAAAAATTATTGGTCAAATGTGGCGGGATCTGCCTGAGGACGAGAAAACTGACTTCATCGAGGAATACGAGACGGAAAAAGTGGAGTATGAGAAGTCCTTGAAGACTTACCACAATTCTCCAGCATATCTAGCCTACATAGCTGCTAAAAATCGTGGAAAATCTGCAATCTGCGTGACAAATCAGAGCTCAGACGATCGTGAGAGTCACGATCGTTCCTCAGGTGGCAACAAGAATCAGGCAGGCCAGGACAGACGAATAGAGATACTTCCAGCTGAGGATGATGACGACCAGGATGACGTATACTCCGTCAAACAAGTGGCCTACTCAAGATACACAAGAAATCACAGATTGATAAACGAAATATTCAGTGACACTGTTGTCCCAGATGTTCGTTCAGTGGTTACAACTCACAGGATGCAGGTGCTCAGGCGACAGGTTCAATCCCTCACAATGCACCAGAAGAAATTGGAGGCTGAGCTGCAGCAAATTGAGGAGAAATTTGAGGCCAAGAAGAGAAAATTCATCGAGACGAGTGAGATATTTCAGGAGGAGCTAAAAAAACATTGCAAGCCAGCAGTTGATGAGGACACATTCAACAAAATGGTGGAGCGCCAGTACGAATTGCTGCGTCGTGAGAGGATCAAAGGTACTGAAGAAAATCGACCAGAAGCTGGATCCAACGAGTCCACGCCAACATCAACACCAACTCCAGCATCAGTCAACGAAGAGCCAACACCGATGGAGATATCGGAGAGCACTGAGCCTGATAAAAAAACACCAGAGCCTGAGAAGATTGACCCGAAAAAGGACAGCCCATCGCCACCCTACGTCGAAAGTAAATCAGATTCGCCAACTCAGGGTACAATCCAAGGAGCTCCAATGCCCATAGCTGCTAGCAATAAAGCAAACGATGGAAATACAAGTCCAGTGACAACAGCTTCCCCTACACCTGTCATAAATACAGCACCAACAGTGAGCCCAAGTGTTACAACACCGAGTTCCCAAAGTGACAATGGAAATGCTTTGAATACAACTACAACTTCTACAGCCCCTGAGAGCAGTACCAGCAGTGCAGCACCAATTAATCCAAATGGAAACAATTCTGGGCCGATATACTCAACAGCAGTGAGTCCAATTCATCATCAGCTGTCACCCCAATCCCATCCAGTACCCCAGATGCCCCAGCACCAGGGACAACATCAACCTCCACCCCACAGTGTTGCCAACCCCCATCAGATGCAACCAGCAAATCAACCCCATCATCCTCCACCACCTCATCCCACATCCCAGGGAACTCAGCACCAAGGGCCACATCCAGTCCCCCCAAATCAACACCAACACTCTCATCATCTACCCCATCAGAGCCAGCCCCATCCCACTGGCAATCAGCATCAGCAGATACCCCAGGCTCCACCACCATCACAATCCCCATCGCCACACTCTCAGGGTCCACCAACACCCCAGTATCCACCACCAGTTAATCCACCCACAACTCCACCCACATCATCACCAGCTCCAATACCCCACAATCCTCATCCCTCGTCGTCACCTCATCCTCAGGCACCTAATAATCCACCATCAACACCACCATCGTCATCACCAGTTCCATCGATACCCCACAATCAACCTCATCCACCAGCTGGAATAATGTCCAATCATCTGGCACCACATCAGCCACCCCAGGGTCCACCAGTGATGCAGGCACAGGGACCTGGACCTATGATACCACCAGGACAGGGATATTCACAGCAATATCCACCAGGAAATCAACCACAAGCCCAAAATGTACCTCTGGCACCGAGACCACCTCATCCATCTTATGGATATGGACAGCAACAGCCATATCATCAGCCCTATCCTCAGTACTCGCATCCCTATTATCATCAACCCTATGCCCAATATCCACCTCATGGCATGGGACGACCTCATCATGGACCTCACAGCCCTCATTCACCCTATCATCCACAGTCCCCTCATTCTGTGGGCGAAGGAAATCCACCGAATCCACCCAATACCGAGGGCGGACCTAATTATCCACCTGGACCTGTCCATGAGCCCGAAAGGGCACAGCCACAGGAAGGACAGGGCGAAGGACAAGGAGAGGCCAAACCTGGAGGACATTGACTTTTTCTTGGGAATTCATTTTTTTTTTTCTTTTGGGTATTTTTTAGTTGTAGGGGTGCGTGGAACGAGCTGCGCTGGAATTCTTCGGAGGGAAACGAATTGGATGGAGATTTCTGGAAAACTCGATTCCCGTTGCGTTTTAGAGAGTTCAAGGTGAGGGAATGGTGGTTATTGACAATGTTATACTATTGTGATTCTATTCCATTCTATTTCCCATCGTCCAGTTCCAACTTTTTTCAAAAACCTCAATGATGGAGTTCTCTTTATTATGAGAAATAAAAACTGCAATTGATAATTAATGCATCTATCTTTTTATGTGTACAACCCTTTCTCCGCGTCTAAAAGTTTTGTTGTCGCCTTCAAGGCGAATATACCTGAAATAATTCAATTAATGATTTTGATTAATTGAAAAATTCAATTAAAAAAAAATCAGTTCCCAAAAATTTTTATTTAATTCTTCATACCTTGAAAAACAATTTGAAAACTCAAGTCGACAATAACAATTCGAAATCACGTCCTTTTCCATATCCTCGAATCCCAAACAAAATTTCTAAAATCCATCGTCATGAGTCATCTCACCGATGAATCGCATAAATAAACAAGAGATATTTCTAATAGCATCTAAAACCCATTTATTCTCCGGGAAATCACCCAGAGAAATTTATCAAAATATCGACCGCCAAAAGAATAATTTTGGAGAGACGCCATCTTGGAAGTTATGCGTGAGCAATGCGCGGTGGACCGAAATTATTTACAAAAAAAAATTGTTATCTGCAGAATATTATAATGATTTAATATCTACAATTATTAATAAATAATTTATGCCGCATTGGTGTTACTTATCCAATATTATTCAACCGATTGATACGCCAAAAGTCCCCGCCATATTGGATGAATGCGCAGATCGATGCGCGGACGAGTATTTCCATGATGGCGGGGATTTGAGGGAGAGTAACACATTTGAAGTTAGTGTTTCGTGATTTAGTGTAAAAAAGAGAATAAAACCCTCAAAATAACCATAAACAACAATAAATATTGATATTCGATGAAAATTTAAAGACAGAGTTGGGATTTTGAACTGTAAATGACGACTACTGTCCGATATCTTGAGGTTCTTTATCATCATTCTTACATTCCTGACTGATGTCAACGTCTTCTCGTATTTTAATAAGAATTAATGAAGCATGGGGATCATTTGGGATCATTTGGGATCATTTGGGATCATTTGGGATCACTTGTGTTTAAATCGATCAAGCGATTTAATTCGAATAACAACAGACACCGCTATAATTAGAATAAGAACGTTCAGAGGTTTTTATTAATCTTATTTTACAGCTTTCATTTGCCACAGGCCATCGTTAAGATAATGACAATTTTCAATACCTATTCCTTTGTTTACCTTTGCTCTGTGGAGAGAAATAAATAATTAATATTGGAATAATCGAGTGAGATAGAAAATCGAGACGTTGAACTCACATGTCTTCGGTGGACAGAGCTGTGACACCAACAGCTAGTGCGTGCTGCTTCCCCTCTGCCATCACAGCCTTTAATTACAAACACTTATTAAGGATGTGGATAGACTATTTAATTATATAAATATAAACAACTTCTCCCATTCGATAAAAAAAATCGGGAGATGATTAATTCGGGAAAAAGGATACGACAACAGTTCCTTTGGTCACTGGTGTCATCTTGGCTCCTTTCGATGTCAATCCTGGACACATTATATTAGCCCCACTGAGGACAAACCTTATGGCGCCCTTATCGACTTGTTCTACTGGTAAGAAAAATGGATCTGCAAGGATAATCCACATTTATTTAAAAAATGTTAAAAATTCACTACAAAATTCCATCAACTCACATTTGTGCAATAATCTCAGGGTTGGCATCCAGGGCCCCTCTCTTTGTCTGAAGAACAACAACTCCCCAGCAGCATTCACCATGATCTCGATGTGATCATGACTACAAAGGAAAATTATCAATTTAGTTTCGAAATTATTAATGTCGAATGAACCCGCTGGTACCTTCAACTCGTTTGACATAAAATTTTGAAAACTGTCGGGCTTACCATTTCACTAGACGAAATGCATCCTTCTTCGGAATTATCTGATCAATATAACTCTCCAAGTGAGGATACAGCTCGAGCAATTTGGACCTTATCCCCTTCTGAATCGAAGATTTGAGCTGCTGAACCCCCGAGACACTGTCCTTCTCATCGAACCTGCAATTTACCAGGAATTAAATCCCCATCACTCCCCAAAGTCCAAAACAAGATAAAAAAATATCTAATATCCCACACTTTTTAAACATTATCGACAACTAGATTTCTCTAAATTCGTTATCAAATAATCATCAGCCTTCTGTTGGTGGTCCAGTTGCCCTCCAGGAATCAACAGAGGAAATCTCCCTGAATCTATTGTTTTCTAGGTTATGATGCAGGCGCCTTGAGATCAGACCGACGAACTCCTGACGAAGAAAGACAGAATGACCCCTGGGGGAGTGTCACTGCCTCATCTACTCTGTCATTGGCTAGGCCACAGCCCCACTTCTCACAAATTCACAGAAAAAAAAATAATCTGAAGAGAGAGAGAGAGGCATCCCTTTCAGCTGCTTCTGTTTTCGTGAGTTGATCAGTAAATTCCGAACAGATCCGAACTGCTGTCTCCATCACCACGAAAACAGCAACTCCACAAGGTATTGAACCCCATTCCCAACAGAAAACACTGACTCGCCCTTTGTACATTTTTTTTAAATTAATATTATCAATCATCTTTGAAGTGTCATTTAACCTCTCCAATGGGCTAATAATTTTCTCCTTTCAATTTTGACAGGTGAAATGATATTTTCAAGTGAGCGAAATTCTGAGTGCTGAAACTTCTGGAAATAATCTCGAGTGTCCTTTCTCCATCCCCTCCGCAGTCATTGCTCATTCTCCCTTTGTCACACATGCACGTAAAACTCCACAATATCCCCCACAACACGTATCCAATCCTGAGCCATTTTGTGTATTGTTAGAGCAGCTGTGCAATAATTCTCATCGCCAACAACGTCCTTTCAGTCCGAGAAATGTCAAATACCAAACGTACGTCGTAAAAAATGTCTCGGTTATATCCAGGACTATCCGACAATTCTTCATTTTTATTTAATTACAAAAATGTGCAACAACGTCACGTGAAATAAACTTTCTGTCGCCCAGGATTTTTTTTTCTCGTGACGAGTGAAATACAAATTAACGAATAATCGTTTCAAGTTTTCTCGATGAACTTTTGTGAAGTGTAAAGTTAGAGATATCGATAGTCTAGAGTTAATTTTTTTTGTGGGAGTCATCCTTTTGTTGAAGATTACTGTCGTCATCGTGGGAGGTGAGTAGTCCCACCTAAGCAGTGAAATTTTTTTTTGTTTAAAAATAGGATGTGATTTTGCAAGGCCAGAGCTCGCGATAGCCAACTAATGGATTTTTATGTCGATGTATCGTTGAGTATTGACGAATTAAGTATTGACATGGCGCAGTCCAAGGACGAGAACAATTGCCCAGGACTTTTTGTCAATGTCTTCCTGATTATCCATACGAGATTAATCATTGATAAACTCCAGCGTCTTTTCTTTGTCCCTTTGAGCCAAAACGAAATGAAATTAAAGTCAATACACGCCACCTCCGACCTGACACCTAATATTTAATCCACACATGCCTTATTTAAAAACCGATACAGGTATTTTAATCCCGAATTTATTCTTCCAGATCTCCATCACTCCACAATGAACGACGACAGTATGAACGAAGACCACACAATTCCAGTGTACGAGCACGATCTCCAGGACGTAGACGTGGATTCGGTGGACGTAGAATTGTCGCAGGTCCTTCCAATATTTCCCACCTCAAGCAAGCCCTGCATAAATGTCTGGATGGACAAGATGAGTAAAGGAATCCTGACATCAACCCATTTCAAGGAGCACTGGAGGATCTGGGTTCCAAACATCTACAGTCCCGAGCCCAATGGCAACTGTCTAGGTTGGTCCTTCGACGAGGACATGGCTGAGAAGATGCTGTACAATACCCTCGAGGAGTTTATCTGCAATGGAGAGCCCAGAGAAGTTCTCCAGCAACTGGCAAAACTGGAGAATCCCCCATCAGTGTGCGGTAGATTCTTCAAAGTTGGAGAACCAACGTACTTCTGCAGGGAGTGTGGAATGGATCCCACCTGTGTCCTCTGTGTTGCGTGTTTCAAGGAATCAGCACATCAGAATCACAAGTACAAAATAGCAACGTCGAGTGGTGGTGGCTGCTGCGATTGTGGAGATCCTGAGGCCTGGAAGAAAGAGGCTTTCTGCAGGATACACGAGGCTGGTAAAGAGGCTAAAGAGACATCTGGTAATAAATTGCCTGAGGACATCAGAGAGCGTGCAACATCGACCTTCGAAGCTGTCCTCCAGTATTGCTTTGAATTACTAGCAAGAGAGCATACACCTGGCCTTCCAGCAGATCTCAGGGTCAAAGAGACTGACGAGGGGCCTCTTTCCCTGCTCGCCACCACAGGTAGCTACTGCACTGTCCTCTTCAATGACGAGACCCATACATTTGAACAGGTGATCAGTACATTGGCTCGTGTCATCAAGTGCACCCAGAAGGAGGCCATTGAGTTCGTTACCAACATCGATAGGAATGGGAGGGCTGTGGTAAAGTGCTCGGACTTTCAGCACTGCAATGAACTCAAGTCTGATATCGAGAGATTCACATCGAGACAGAGCAGTCACCCCCTCAAGGTTCTCGTGGTCCACGCCCATGTCATTGCCCACCAGATATTTGCAATGAGACTTCTGGGATGGCTCCAGCAGTTCATCAGCCACTGCGAGGGCTTCAGAATTATCTTCAGCGATGTTGCACTGAATAAGAAGCTACCTGATCTACCCATCGTCGATGGGATTCTCATGAGGGACTCACATCTGTGGAAAGCTGCTAGAACTGCCTGGCATCGTCTCTTCATATCGGGAATGCTGATGGAGTACGAGAGCAAGAAATCACTGGCAATCGTCTTCACCACAAATTATGGAACCGTGATGAAGGATTTTATGAAGGACGATCACGATCATTCATTCTCCATATCATCACTGTCAGTTCAACTATTTACAGTGCCAACACTGGCCCACTATCTCATCGCTAATCACGACGTATTATTTATACTCCTTAATACCTTCATCTCCGAGAGCTCAAGACGATGCAATCCAGTGGGAAAACTCGAGTTCGAGAGAAATACACCACACACTGTTTTTAAAAGAGCACAATATATACTCTGTGATCTGTCGTACCTCTTGAGCTCAAAACCTGACACCTGGACTGACGAATTGAGGAAGGGATTTCTCCAGGGAATGTCATTGCTCATGAAACTCCTCTGGAGTATGCAGGGAATGGATGCCGTTCTGCGACAGGTGGGACAACACATGGAGTACGAGCCTGAGTGGGAGTCTGCATTCAATCTCCATATTAAACTATCCCCAGTAATAAGTCTGGCTCTGGAGTGGTGTGGATCAGATCGAGTGGTTCTCATCAAGGCATTCAGGCTTGTACTTAAAAAACTCAGTGAACAGCCTAATAAGGAATCATCATCGAGTCCAGGACAGCTGAGAGAACTAGCAGATCACTCTGCAACTTGTATAGTGTACGACGTCTCTCTGGAACCTGTCTCAATTCATCTTCCCCTCTCACGATTTCTCGCTGGACTATTTCTCTATCTTGAGAAATATAATCTGGATTATCAGAGCAGTGAATTCATGATCCAGTCGAAACTCTCCCCAGAGCAGCTGATTGAACCTGTCCTGAGGGCACAGGCAATGATCTCCCAAGTGCACGCTGGCATGTGGAGGAGAAATGGCTACAGCCTGTTGAATCAACTTTATTTCTACCACAACGTTCGTTGTAGAACTGAAATGCTCGATCGTGATATTATTCTCCTCCAGGTGGGGGCTGCCTTGATCGAGTCCAACGAATTTCTCATTCATATTCTGAATAAATATAATCTACTCAACTGGGCAGATGTTGATTTTGAGACAAACACCCTGAGGAATCCTGAGGAGGACAGCATAAGGCAGACTATAAATCTCGTTGAAGAATTTCTAGGTCTTCTCATCACGATTATTGGAGAACGTCATGTACCTGGTGTTGGTCAAGTGACAGCTGATGATCGTCTGAAGAAAGAGATTATTCAGCAGCTGTGCATCAAGCCAATGTCACACTCGGAATTAAATAAAACATTGCCAGATGGAGTTCATCACGAGACTGGTCTCGAACGTGTGATAAATGATGTTGCTAATTTTAAAAAACCCTCCCAGAATTCTGGTGGAAAAGGCCTCTACGAACTCAAACCAGAGCTCTTCGCTGAGTACAACGTATTCTTCTACCATTACACTAAAGAGGAATTGAGTAAATCCGAGGAGTCACAGAGGAGACGTCGCAAGGGGATGCAGGAGCTTGAGTGTTGTCCACCCCCGCAGCTACCAAAACTCACAGAGACATTCAGTCTTGTGGCTAATCTTCTCCAGTGCGACGTAATGCTTCACATAATGCAGACAGTTCTCGAGAGATCGATTAATTTGAGAGCAAGGAGTTTCTCAGAGCCCCAGGTCCACAAAATCATTCATCTGATAGGATATGCCCTGCAGGAGCAGATGACAGGGAATTATCCCTTCCTCATATTCACAGAGAGGGCCTCCAAATGGAGGATCTACAAACTCCTGGAGGAATTGTCCACCAGTCCTAGAGTCGATGCTCACAAGGACCTGGTGATTTGGGTCCTGGGAAAATACCGAGAAGCTGCTGGTTCATCGATAGCTGAGGCAAGCCAGCAGCAGGTGGAGAATACAAAAGAGCCATCGGTATCAACAAATTCAGAAGAAGAACAAGCGAAAAACAGTAAGGAGTGGAGAACTCAGATGGCAGCCCAGAAACGAGCCAAAGTAATGGCGCAAATGGCTGCGATGCAGAAGCATTTCATGAAGAAAAACGCAAAACTATTCGAGGAAGCAGCGATAGATGCCAACAGCAAGGGAAACGAAAGAGGATCTTCAATGGATCTCTCAGAATCCTCTCCCGAGGCTCCGGTGGCTCTGGGGCCCAGGCAGACACCAAGAATCATCGAGGAGAAAGAGTACACCTGTCTTCTCTGCCAGGAGGACCAAACCGTGACACCTGGGGGTAGAGCAATGGTCCTATCAGCGTTTGTCCAGCAGTCAACAGTCCTCTGTCAGACCAGAAACGATCCTGATGAGAAGAATTCTCTGTACTTATCATCAAGACTTGGCGCATCACCTCACACTAGCACCTGTGGCCACGTCATGCACGCCAGCTGCTGGGAAAAATATTTTGACAATGTCCTGGCGAAGGAGAATCGAAGACCATACAGGCTGAGGCAACCTGCCAGCTTTGATGTTGAGAAGCACGAGTATCTCTGTCCCCTGTGCGAATGTCTGAGTAATACAGTTTTACCTTTACTTCCCTCTCTGGCAACCCTGCAGTCAACAGAAACGAAAAATCGTTGCCACGTGGACTTTGATACCTGGTTGAATGCTCTTACTGTCACCCTGGATTGCAAGAGCAAGAGCCACGTTGAGAGTGATGATCAGGTGGAGGTACACGACAAATGCAGATACTGTGAATCGAAGATTTCTGATGATTTCACTGATGGAAATATCACGATGCTAGACACCAGGGAGTCGTTTGGTTGTCCCATCCGGAGAATTCAGGGAATTCTGGGGAAAGAGGTGGCTCATGTGTTCGACGTGCAAACAATCACAGCTGAAAACAAAGAGACGAGTTTATCTGATGATCTAAAGTCAATGGTCGATCTCTTTGCTCAGGCGACGTATACTAAAGGCCTGGGCGTCGATCCTCATACCAGTGATGCCAGAGTTCCACTGCTAGCCTGGAAATCCACAGCTTATACCATTCATGCCATTGAATTTCTCCTGAGGGACAGCGAGAAGCCCCTCCTGGGGGCATTATCATCGAGACAGAGGGACAGTCTTGAGTGTCTCGCCAGGATTTCAGCTGTCCTAGGATCAACCTGGCCCAGCAGCAATTCCAGCAGCTCCAGTGGTTCAACCAGCACTGGAGCTAACGAGGGAGATGGAAACTACAGCATTCTTGCTGGTCATGCCATGACACTCCTCACTACTCTATTAGATAATTCCTCGGAGGACTGCATCACAGATTGGGATCCCTTCGGCATTCTGGTACCACTAGTTGTCACTCTGCCCAGCCTCTTCTCCAGGAACTCTGGGGAATCCCCTCCAGTTGTAACTGGAAGCCACCACGAAATTCATGTCCTCAGACTAGTGTTGGTGGGACTCGTCGTTAAGATCCTCATCACTTCTGATTTTACAGGATCTGAGGTGATGGACGTGGATGCCCTAGAGGACGAAGGCTACTCAGCCCTCTCGAAGATCATCACTATCCTGGGTGTTGAGACCGGTGGATTGACCCTCTCTGAGGTCTGGAGGCGTGTCAAGATCGCCTCGTTGCCATTCCTCAGGTGTTGTGTCCTATATTTTCACTACATAACTGATGTTCCAGCACCAGTTGAGCTAACGGTCAAGGATGGAGACACTTATGAGAATATTATGATGTATTTGGGACTTGAGACGAGCTGCGAGGGACTCCTGGAGTCCGAGGGTGTCAGGAGACTTGCGAAAAATTGGGTTGAGCATCCCAGGGCGAGACTCTCAGTTGGGGTGAAGGAACCTCTTAGGGTAAATGGACTCGTCAAATTACCAGAGGATTACTCAGAGCTCATCAACACAGTCTCGCTGTTCACCTGTCCAAACAGCGATAAAGAGGACTCGAGGAATCCCACCATGTGCCTAGTATGTGGTGAAATGCTCTGCTCTCAGACATATTGCTGTCAGACTGAGCTGAATAAAATAATGGTTGGTGCATGCACTTATCATGCTAGCAAGTGTGGCACTGGTGTTGGAATTTTTTTGAGGGTGAGAGAGTGCGAGATATTGTTCCTGAGATCTCCAAATCGTGGGGCATTCGCGTGTCCTCCTTATCTGGATGAGTATGGAGAGACTGATCAAGGACTCAGGAGGGGAAATCCTTTAAAATTGTGCAGAGAGAAGTACAAGCAGTTGAATCAAATGTGGCTTGGCCATGGGCTACATGAGGCTGTATCGAGAGCCATCGAGTCGTCCAGCACTCTCATGTCCACTCAATGGCAGCATCTTTAATCTCATGGTGGGCTCTAGGGAGTGCAAATTCTGGTATTTTCTATTTGTTTTATGGTGAATATTTTTTCGAGGATTTTTCGACTACTCGGAAAGAGACGAAATTGATAATTATTTGAAGATAACTATGATGATAAATTCGTGTGAGAAGTGTATATATTCGTATGGTTGAGATATTTTTATTTGTTTTAATTAACCAAGTTATGATTTCGAGGAAATGGAGAGGGTTCCAGCACCTGGGAACTTTAATTGAAGATACCGTGGTAAAATTATTTATAACGATGTGAACGACGTTGGGGTTGTTCTGGGTAACCATTGAATCATTGATAATTGATCACTGTAATTAATGAGAATGGTCTAACCGAGATTAATCGAATTTTATTTAACTGAAACCAACCAGAGAGTTCTAATCTGAAACGTACTATTGGTTAATATTCATTTGTTTTTCGTTTCGTCAGATAATTTTTCTAGTTTATTTTCATGAATCTAACTGGCAATTGTAAATCACGTTTTTATTCCCCTTTTCTTCGAGGAGATGGATCCTAGGATTTCGACTCTCGTCACAAAGTGCAAGTGTAGATTTGGGCGAATTATGATAATAAATCAACATGATAGAGATAAATGATAACTTTTACTTGTTATGTTAGAATGCAATTAAAAGTATCGTCAGCTGGATAAACGAATTGAGAGAATAAAAATTGATGATAGAAATATGTTAATTCATGCTCTTCATGCTTTTTTTTTTCCAAGTTCTCCTTTGGTTTTCCAGGCGATAACAATTCTGTTATCAACTCCAGTTTATTACGGATGTCGAAACGCTAGATTGTTTAAGGTAAAATTTATTCATTGGTTTAGATTCTCATAAAAAAATTCAACACAAAAACATTCTCGTGCATTATCCATCACGATAGAAAAACTAAAACTAGAGAATTCAAATCGTTGGAGGTTTATATACTCCAGCAGAAGATATAATATAGTACTATTATACAGCTGTATTTACAAGTGAGATAGGGTAAAAATAGAAATACAAAACACGTGAAACAATTTTTTTTACAATTGTATCAATATTTTAGAATGATAAGAATTAATTGCTGATTCAGAAATGTTGAGTGCAAGTGGTGAAAAATTATTGAAGCTGACGGAATTCATCTAGAACAGGTTTAATATGTTTCAGCCAGTATGTCTCAGTGAATAAACTACGAGCTCGACCAATGATGTCGAAAGGAGTCCAGTCTACATCGAGGTTCAAGACTTCTAGACTGTCAAGTTTGACGAAACATCCGTCTGGTAAACTAGTCAATTTGTTGGACTCTAGTAATAATTCGTGGATGTTAATAACACCGTCGAAAGTCGCTGGCTGTATCATATTTATCTGGTTGGAATTCAATCGTAGGATCTGCAAACGCTCGAGACCTTTGAACATGTCAGCTGTGAGAACCTGTAATTTGTTGAATGCCAAGCTGAGAGTCTTCAAGTAATCGAACTTGGCGAATGTTCCTGGCTCGATAGTTGTTAGATTAACGCTCTCAAGACTGATTTCTTTGTCGAGATATGAAGTGATTTTCGTGAACGAAGCAGGAGATAGGCTCTTAATATTTTGGTATTGTATCTTGAGAGTCCGGAGATTATTTATTCCCCACAATAAGTCCTGGGGAATTTCTTCGAGACGATTACCGATCAATCGCACAGTCTCGAGGAAAACACTTCGTCTGAAAGGAGATTCTCCTTGCAGATTCATGTACTTCAGAGCAACAGATCTCACCCATGGAATTTCACTGAAGAATCCTTGGGTGACGTTGATGGTCTCAAACATGTCCATCAAGGATTCATCCATTGGATCTTGGGGTTGAAGTATCAAATCCGTAAGGTTCACGTCTATCCTTTCATCACCCCTGAAGTACTCCCTTCTTTCCACTCGTCGATAAACTTTTACAAAAATTTCTGTATTTTTTAACCTGCAGATTTCGCAAGTTGAACTTCGGTTGTGACACCCCACGAGAATTTTTGCAGCCGCCCAAGACATCGATAAAAAAATGAAAACTAGTACTAACGACAATTTGTCCATATCGGCTGATTTTTTCGAATCACGGCTGACGCCAATGCCTTGAGTTTTTTATACTCATGTGCATATGTGTACAACTGGGCAAATAAAATGCCAATAGGGGCATAATGTTAATTACACTAATTAAATTTGGTTTCTCTGGAAAATAATTGAACGGCGCTCACTCTTCCGAAATAACTTAAATTTTTTATCTTTTCTGAGGCCTCGCTCTCAGCACGTGATCCAATGATCAATAACAATCTTTAATCATTCTGTTCATCAATTAAGATAATGATGAAAAATCATTCCGAACGGACACGTTTAATCAACCGGGAAAATTACGAAATATATTAATCCCAAAGTATCAAATATAATGATTCAGATAGTTGAAGGATAATTTATTCATTATCATAATTTTTCAGGTGTTCCAATTATTTTAAATATTATTAATAGTATGGATTATTATCTTCTCTTAATTAGGCAACCGATTTGTTTTTCTTCTTTCGAAAATTGGAAAAACAACTCTAGAAATCGAGATATGAAAAATGAAAAAACGTGAGGTGTCGAGAAAAAATAATCACTCGAGTGTTTTTGTTTAAATTTTTATGGCGAATAGTTTAAAAAAATCGATGATAAATGATCACTTTCTGTTTGGGATAATCTTTCTCGTGTATTTAAATGCAACGTCAATGATTAGATTTTTTTTTAATCAACGGCTCAATAGTTTTTCAATTAAAAATTGTTTTGGGTAAAACCGTATAATTGAATACAGCAAAAAAAAAATTAAATCGATTGCGCGTTTTGTTTTCGGGGAATAATCACATAAATTCCATAAATTTATATAATTAAGAATAGTTACAGTGGAAAATATATAGAGCATTCCGTCAACTCGTGAAGTATCAACCCTCATGGTTTATTTATTTGTTTAAACATTCGTCCACCGCGTAAATATGACATATCCTTTAATTTTAATCTTTAATTCATTTACGGCTGTGATGACTTACACAAAAAATCGTAAGACCGAAAAAATCGGTTTTCAGGTGGAGAATTAAAAAAGTACCTGAATTTTTAAATTAATCATCATTAAGTCATTTTTAAATCCAAAAACCGTTCATTTTCGTCCTAAAAACGTAATTATAAAAAAAAATCCATTTTTAACTCCCATTAAATTACAACTGTTCAAAATACTATATTCTCCGCTCATTTTGGCGCCAACCGCACTATTGGATCTCATAATATGATTTTTTGAATAAATAAAAAAAAAAAAATTTTGAAAAAAATTTTGGAAAAAATTTTGAAAAATTCAGGATTTTTTGCGTAACAGTTCTTACATCTATATGGGGTATTATATTAGAGTGACGCATGAATGGAGCAATTTCCAAACGAATATTAAATAATTTAATTATTCAAATAAAAAAATTTGAAGTAATCAACTCTACTTTATCGTCTCTCGATAAATAAAATCAGTCTCACCCCATATATCACACAACACTTGCGTCCCTGAAAAGTTTTATCAATGCCCTGACATTATGTCTCTCTATAACTATAACAAAACAGGCTGTGAATACATACTACCCCTTGTCAACCTCTAGTCCCATTATTTTTCCCGAGCGAATAAACTAAATAAAAATAAAAGTACCCAGGATAAATTGAGTGTCATCTTCAAGTGGTCATCACTCTATTTCACAGTGTTCGCGGTCCATGTTACATTTTTCCCTGGATGTTCAATGTGGCGCCTTTGGAAGGTTATAGATTAACGTTTTGGGGTGTGGCATTGTAATTTCATCAAAACAAAATCACCGACTGACCTACCGATTGTTTACAATGCATCCAGAATTCATGATTGAACGTTTGATTTATTCAGTAGTGATTCAGTCGCCAGTTGTGTTTCATTGTTATATCGAGTCATCCATGAGCTGCAACAGCTGAGAAAAGTGATTACAACGTGAAATAGTTACTCTAAAAAATCATAACTCAATGATCATCAGTTTTGAAATTAAATAAGTGAATGAAACCCAGAAAAACATGTAAAATAGATAATGAAAGAGTGATGCCTTTGGTGGACATTCGAGTGACATATAGTGTTTAGTTTTGTCTGGTTTTCCCCTCCAAGATCTTGTTTCTTCACTCTATTTTTTTTTCTCCCAACTATTTAATTTTTTTCCTCCGAATTTATCGGAGGGTACTAATCCCTCATTCGAAGTTTCATGATAACCAGAGACTTAAAAATCCAGTGGGATGTTGAACGCCATCACTCCCACACACCAGGAGTCAACCGAGATGTCTCGGTTGGCAGATTATTTCGTGGTCGTTGGTTACGACCACGATAAAGAACGTGGTGGAATAAGCAATGGAACAGTTGTCCAAAGATTTCCACAGAAGGATTGGTCTGACACACCCTTCATCGAGGGAATCGAGTGGTTCTGTCAGCCCCAGGGGTGGGCACTGTCCACAGAACGTCAGGAGCCAAGATTTTTTGTCTCCATTTTAACAGACATCGATGCAAATCGTCATTACTGCGCCTGTATGTGTTTCAATGAGACAGTTTCAATTCTCCCTAGCAAGCCAGTTGACGAGGAAGAGGAACCAGTGGATGGAAACAGTCGAGCTCTCGTCAGGAGTATTCCAACAATAGCTCATCACAGCATAATGTATGCACCAAAGTGTCTGGTGCTTGTATCAAGACTCGACTACATCGAGACATTTAGAAATTGTCTGGGAATAATCTACACTGTTTATGTTGAGAATCTGGGTATTCCCCTGGAGACCCTCGTGGGTAATATCCTGGGTTGCATTCAGGTACCACCAGCTGGAGGTCCCCAGGTGCGTTTCAGCATTGGTGCAGGTGACAGACAGGCCCTGCAACCACCGATCAGTCCATCTCTTCCAATTACTCACACAAGTGTTAATTTACTCTTCCAACAGCTGGGAATTCGCAATGTCTTGGTACTTTTTTCCGCTGTTATGACAGAGCACAAGATTCTCTTTCACTCTGCGAGTTATTCACGTCTCACCGAGGGCTGTCGAGCTCTTACTGCCCTGATGTATCCTTTCAGATACACTCACGTCTACATTCCACTGCTGCCTGCTGCCCTCGTAGAGATCCTCAGCACTCCCACACCATTTATCATGGGGGTTCACAGTTCTCTCAAGCAAGAGGTCTCAGAGCTGATGGACGTTATCGTAGCAGATCTTGATGGTGGCTCTATAACGGTTCCCGATGGTGTATCATTGGCTCTTCTACCTGAACCCCTTCTCTCACAGACTCAGGACCATCTGTCACTGGTACTTCAGCCTGAGCTCATCTGTGCTGATTATGCTTTTCCTCCACTGGCAACCAGGGCCCCCCATCCACCGATGCTCGATAAAGAACTCAGAGCTGTTTTCATGAGGACCTTTGCCCAACTCCTACAGGGATACAGAAGTTGCCTGACACTCATACGAATTCATCCACGACCAGTTATAACATTTCACAAGGCTGCCTTTCTTGGGGAGCGAGGACTCACAGACTGTGACTTCACAATACGAGTTCTCGACTGCATGTTCTTCACGTCATTTGTCGCTGAGAGAGGCCCCCCATGGCGACCTTGTGACGTCTGGGACGAACTCTACTCCAACATAAGTGATCAATTGAAACAGGAGTCCCAGGATCATCGACTCATTCTCACTCACATCCAGGAATTAGCACAGCACTTGTACACCAATGAGAATCCCAATCCACAGCCATACGTTCAAAAAATTCTTAAACCACCTGACGGTGCATTCACCAGGATTCATCAACCCCAATTGCCTGTTATAAATCCTGAACAGGTGCAGGCTATTATTGACGAGGGATTGGCGAAGAATAATCTCAAAGTCAGACTGACTGGTCTGAGACCTAGCCAACCAAGAATAGTGCCATCTGGTCCTCACATATCCATTGTACATGACACAAGGCATTTAGTAAGTAATTCAGCGCGTAGATTAGAGGTACTGAGGAACTGTGTGAATTGTATATTCGAGAATAAGATATCAGATGCCAGAAAGACATTTCCAGCTGTACTCAGGGCACTAAAGAGCAAAGCTGCGAGACTGGCACTTTGTATGGAATTTTCACAGCACGTTGTGGGAAATAAAGCGATGCTTGAGCACCAGCAGTTCGATCTCGTTGTTAGACTGATGAATTGTGCTCTTCAGGATGATTCATCGATGGATGAGCACGGCGTTGCTGCTGCTCTTTTACCACTTGCCACAGCTTTCTGCAGAAAACTCTGCACTGGGGTCATACAGTTCGCTTATACCTGCATTCAGGAACATGCAGTATGGCAGAATCAGCAGTTCTGGGAGGATGCATTCTACCAGGACGTGCAGAAGGACATCAAGAGGCTTTATTTACCCGGTGATAATCTCAAATTCATCACTGATGGAATAGTAAGCCCTATCAGCCCCAGGGATGGAAAGGATAAGGAGTTTCCATTTAATGACAGAAGATCTATATACAGGAGTCAGGAGCCATCTGCTTTGGAAATAGCTGCCGAGCAGATGAGGCTGTGGGCTGGCATCGATGGTGAGAAACAGAAGGAACTTGTTACGAGTGAGGAGAGCACTTTGTACAGTCAAGCCATTCATTATGCCAATCGCATGGTTTATCTTCTCGTACCTCTTGATATTGGGGCCAAAGCCCACAGGCAGGATCACGTCTGCGATGACGAGAGGGCGAGCAATAGTATTACTAATAGGTGAGACTCATTATTTATCATTTCACTGCTTTTATTCAGAACTGATAACTCAACTAACAAATTGATTTTTAATAACTAATCAATTTTTCATGGATATCTCGGAATCTGGGAGAGATAGAAATATTTTCGTTAAGACCTTTTTTATAGATTTTATTTCACTCTTAAAAAAAAGTCTTGACGAAAATTTCCGTATCTCTGTTAGATTCAGAAATATTCATGGAAAACGAGATATAGAACGAGTCAATTTGTTATTATTCATTTTTTCTCTGCTATTTAATTTTCTTCTCGTGGAATATTTTGATATTGGAGAATTTATTTGTTGTTCTCACTCTCACAGCGATGTTTTTGTTCCGCGGAACAGCGTGGCGAGCGACAGTGGAGATGCTGAATCAGGTTTCGAGGAGACTGATCCTGGAGAGACTGGAAGTGCTGTTATCAGGATGGTATCTAGATTTGTGGACAGGGTATGCACTGAGGGTGGAGTTAGTACTGAGCATGTCAGATGTCTACATCAGATGGTACCTGGGGTTGTGCACATGCACATTGAGACCCTCGAGGCTGTGCACAGAGAGAGCAAAACATTGCCACCCATACAGAAAGTAATTATCACGTTTTATTTTTTTTAAATTGAATTGAATTGAATTCAACGACAGAAGATCCATTCAATGATCCATCTAGACCCCAAAAAATCCAGAAAAGCTAAAGAAAGTAAATTAGTCCATTCAATTTTTTTGTTACTTCAATCTATTATTATAATGGAAATATTAATTGCATGGGGAGATCTCTCAATGAGTTGTAGACAGTTGATTAATTTTTTAAACAGTTTATTTCGAGAGGAAACAATTTATATAGCAATCATGAGGCATCACGAGTTTATTCTTCAATCACCCTTTCGCGGATTGCATTTACCGCCCAGCCTATGGGAGTGAAAAGAGTCCAGATCTTCCACAATAAAGGCATATCTTTTTGTTTATTTGTAATTTTGATACTGTCCTCTCTCCCCCAGGAGTAGTCTTGTAGTTTATCGAGACCTTTGAAAAGAACTGAAATATCAGTCTTTATTGGATTGCCCACAAGCCACAAGTGTTCCAAATTGTGAAGATTGTTGAAAATAGTGTCTGGCAGAATCATCAATCTATTCCAATTCAAGACCAATCGACGGAGAGTAGTTAGATTATCGAAAGCTCCAGGTTCTATTGTCCTTATAATATTTCCTGTGAAATCCAGAGTCTCCAGGCTGTTGAGACCGAGGAACATGTCGCGTCGTAAAATCTCTAACCGATTGGCCCTGCAGCTGAGGCTTTTCAGGTAGCGGAATCTTATGAAAGTACCTGGTTCGATGTTTCTCAGCTGAATTCGATGTAGTCTGAGATCCTTGAGATAAGCTGTGACGTTAGATAATGAGTCCTTCGATATTTTCTGGATATTTTGAGAATCTACATCTATCGTGTCCAGATACGGAATTCCGGCGCAGAATTCATTTGGAAATTCCGTGAACTGGTTGAAGAGGAAAGCCAGCTTTTCGAGGGATCTTTGCATTACGAAAGGATTTGGTGCTCCACGAAATTGCACACACTCCATACTGATGGATCTCACCCTTTGGAGATCCCTGAAGGAATCGTTGGTGACGGTGATGATCTCAGGGGTTCCACAGCGCCAGGAAGTTTCGGGGTAGAACTCCAAGTCTGTCCTTACCACCTCACTTGTCGATTTGTCAATCTCTCGATGGATTTGCACCACTACTGACGAATTTTCTACCTTGCAGATTTTGTAGTCCGAGTGTTTTGTTTCATTACAGGACAGGAAACTTGCCGTCGTCAGGGAATACGTCGATAGAGAAATCAGAATGAATATCAACCTGGAGATCTCCATTTCTGCAGCTTCTTCTGAATCACTATCGAGCTCTGATTATTTCAGGTTTATATACCATGGTACAAGAGCTGAACGGTCATATCAAACTATTATTCATACAATTGAACAAATATTTAAAGTTGGCGACATGTGCTTGGATTTTTAGTGAACCTGATATCTCATTCATTCGCTATCTTTCAGGTGTCATTAAACTCAATGTTTGTGACGAAAGGTCCTTCTGTACAAATATTTTTCCTGAAGTGATTACGAAACGCGGGAGGAACCAAAAACTTTGGAACTAATTCAGCGGTGAAGTGTGAGAAGTCAAATTTAATGTTTCGCTTTGGGATTTTATCATTTTTATTGGGAATTCTGGAGAATGGTCTGGAACGTAAAAATACAAAATGTTATTCTTGCAGGAATAAAGGGATATTGACATTCTGAGAAGGCGAAATTCGGTCAAATGATAGGTTTCACCAAGGACTAAGTCTGCGCCAAAATTCCACTCAATCGGTCTAGCTGTTTTTTATAAATTTATTTATTTATCATTTATTTATCAATCGTTTTTTGGAAATATCTCGAAAACTATCAGACCGATTTCATTTTTTCTCCTCTCATAAATATTCGTCTCGATGTACTCTATCTCAATCAATCAATTGCAACATGTACCGGGTGTATGTAACGTTTTGATAAATTGATGTATTAACTGGAAATTTCGTCAGATCCATTTAGCAGGATACGCTCAATGAGATTGGTCTACATTAAAATAGAAGAAAATATATGTAGAGAGGAGTAGTCACATGACAGCTGTCATATACAGCTTCTAAATTTTACTCTACCCCTTAATTACTAAAATAATTGTTTAACTATTCGAATCTGTTCCAAAATTAATGAAAAAATTGTGCTTCCAGCCCAAGATCCTGACCCCGAACATGCTCCCAGGAGAAGAGGTGATAATGGACGGACTGCGAGTGTATCTCCTTCCCGATGGTCGAGAAGAGACGATCGGAGGTCTTGCAAGGACTCCCCCACTGCTCCCAGCCGAGGGTGCAATATTCCTGACAAATTACCGTATAGTTTTCAAAGGAATTCCCTGCGACCCCTTCGCCTGCGAGCAGATGGTGGTTCGTGCATTTCCAGTGACATCCCTGACGAAAGAAAAACGTGTATCAGTGCAAAACCTGGCACACCTGGACCAGTGCATGCAGGAGGGTCTCCAACTGCGTTCCTGTACATTTCAGCTGATAAAACTGGCATTCGACGAGGAAGTCACACCCGAGAACATCGACACCCTTCGGAAATTGATCCACAAGGCGCGTTATCCTCCCCACATATTCCATCACTTCGCCTTCAACGGTCAGATGTTCGTTACACCGACGGCCCATAACAAGGGAAAAGAGAAGAACGCGACCCTCAAGGGCTTCGCCAAGAAGACACTTCTGAAAACAGCGAGAAAAGCTGGGTTCAAGCCAAAACAATCATCAAAACGTCAGAAGTACGTTCTCCCAAATATGAATGTAAACCTCAAGATCAATGTGACGAATACCAACAACAAATACCTGACATCACCAGGAAGAATGAGCCTTCCAGTGTCAAATGACACAAACGATCTGAGTCATGACGATGATTTGAGTATCGACGAGTTCGAGATATCAAATATTGCCTGTCAGCCACCCACAGACGCTAAAACTCTCGAGCGTTTATCAGAGAGAAGTTACGTGAGGGATTGGTACAGACTGGGCCTCTGTCCCAATGGCATAGAGTACGATAAACGAAGAAACGAGCCCTTTAGGCTTACCTCAGTCAACTGTGCCTACATGATCTGCAGGAGTTATCCGGCTCTTCTTGTTGTGCCAACAGGTGTCAGTGACGAGAGCATCAGGAGATTCTGCAGACTCTACAGGCATTCCAGACTCCCGGTGATCACGTGGAAGCACCCCAGGACGAAAGCTCTACTGATCAGAGGAGCTGGTTGTCACGGAAAAGGTGTCATGGGGATGCTGAAGGCTCATCCATCCTCTGGGAGTAATCTCAAGACGACATCCTCTGAATCAACTTCTACACTGGAGCAGGAAAAGTACCTGATGTCACTGGTGTCGTCCACTCCTTTATCAGTTCTCAGACAGGGTTCTACTGCTTGGGGAATGTCAGACAGTTCCCTGAGTATTGACTCTCTGTTGTTAACTGCTGATGAGAGGAATTGCAGTGGTACTCCAGAACAGACCAGGAGAAGTGTCTTCAACAAAAATCCAGTTGCTGGAACGCTGGGATCTTCTGCTGGAAAAGGTGGAAAGAATTTTGGGAGATGGGGCTCGCTGAAGGACAAACGTCACTCCTCCCAGGCATCATTGACCTCAGCTAATCAGAGAGGAACTGTCAGGCACTCAGCTGATTCTGACAGTGGTACTGAGTGTGTTCACACATTCCAGAGGGCTGCACTCTACATTCTGGGGGAGAAAGCCAACATGAGGGGAGTGATGAAGGCCGAGTCGTCAGCCCCAAAGACAGATTTCATTCCTGTTGATTACTTTGATATAAGACACACGAAAACCTCTTTCAAGAAGCTCATGCGAGCTTGCATGCCGAGTTCTCAGAATCCCGAGCCAGATCAGAGCTTTTATAAACTCATTGAGAGCTCTGAGTGGCTGCAACAGCTGCAGAATCTCATGCAGCTATCAGGTGCTGTGATTGATCTGATGGATGTCCAGGGATCGTCAGTTGCTGTCTGCCTTGAGGATGGCTGGGATGCAACGACAACTGTCTGCTCAGTTGCTCAGGTCTGCCTGGATCCTCACTACAGGACAATCGATGGATTCAGAACACTAATCGAAAAAGAGTGGCTTGGTTTTGGCTATCGCTTTAGCCACAGGAGCAATCTATCAGCAAACTCACAAGTCACCAATTTCACACCAACTTTTCTCCAGTTTCTAGATATAATTCATCAAATTCAGCAGCAGTTTCCGATGGCCTTTGAGTTCAACGACTACTACTTACGATTTTTGGCGTATCACTCAGTCTCCTGCAGGTTCAGGACATTTCTTCTCGATTGTGAATTCGACAGGGTAGAGTGTGGTATCACAGCTATTGAGGACAAAAGGGGATCACTCACCAGTTATCACAAGGGCGTTGACACTGGTAGTGATGATGAAATTGTTTATCCAGGTGGTCGTCTTGCTACGAGCAATAATAGTGGCTCTAATTTGGGCCAGAGTATATTTGATTACATCGAGAAGCAACACACGAGATCTGCACTCTTCTACAATTTTCTGTACACACCGAATTCTGAACATCCAGTTCTCAGGCCTGTGTCCCATCTGCCTAGTCTCGATATCTGGCAGTATTACCTCGAGGAGGAGCTCGCCCATGGGCCACCCTACGATCTTGAAGTACTCCAGCAGGATTCACAGCAGGAGGAGGAGGCAGAGGCTGCTGATGGCATCATCGAGAAGAGCAATAGGAAAATTGTTACTCAGGGACATGATTCTATCCAGGCAATGGTCCCTGATCAGTTCTCTCATCTTCTTGAGGAGATCCACAAGCTGGAGACCGAGCTTGGACATTTACCCCAGAAGTGGAGAGTCCTGTGGGAGAAACTCGAACTGCCAAATACGGATTCTCTAGCGAGAAATGGCAGTTTCAGTACTGCCCTCGTCAGGTATCATGGCAGGCTCATCCACAAGAGATCCACCCTCGAGCTCATCCTCAGGGGAAAAATGGCTGGAGGTGGAAGTGGAAATAATAATAATGAAGCAAGTGTTTACGCTCATCCTCACAGGTTTGAAAGACTCGATACTGCAACACCAACTCACTGTGACGCGTGCTCTGGAGTTCTCTGGGGTCCAGTCAAGGCTGGACTCAGGTGTGTTGACTGTGGACATGTCTGTCATGACAAGTGCGCTGATGCTGTACCCAAGAATTGTACTAAATACAAAGCAGTGACAAATAATGTTCAGACACACACATTGACAAGATCTGGTGGGGACAATGGAAGTGTCAACTCTGGGAGCACAATGCAAACGTCTTCTCAGCAGTATTATGAGCAGTTCTCCAGTAATGTTGCGGAGAATAGGACCCACGAGGGATATCTCTACAAGCGAGGGGCCCTTTTGAAGGGCTGGAAGCAGAGGTGGTTCGTTCTTGACTCCATTAAACATGAACTTAGGTATTATGACGCCATGGAGGATTCCCACTGCAAGGGCTACATCGGTGAGTGATCAACTACAACAATTTTCTATTCACATGAAACATTATTCAATAGTTTTTTTTATTTGTTTATTCAAAGATTTGGCTGAAGTGGTATCAGTAACACCAGCATCGCCTACACCGGGACCACCAAAGAAAACTGATGACAAATCATTTTTTGATGTGAGTCTTCATTGCTTTAGAATTTATTATTTTTATATTCTCTCATTGGATTTATAAAATTTCAATTGATTCGGGATTTTTTAGCTCCGCACAAACAGACGGACGTACAATTTCTGTGCAAGTGATGCAGCGATAGCTCAGGAGTGGATTGAAAAGGTTCAAGCGTGTCTGCAGTAGTCTAATATCGATTAATTGCATCTGTACCGGATTAAATACTTTATTAAGATTTAAAAATTGAGAAAAAAAAACGCTATGGATTATATATTGAGCGTCACCAAAGCTCGTTATGTTCGCGCAAGTGACTGATAGGATAATTAAAACAACTACGACTAGGAAAACTGAAGAGAAACAAATGTTTAGGAGAAGATAATGCATCAATTTTGTTACATAATTTTTGTATAGCTTCATTCCTTTCCGACGATATGATATATTCATATATCAAACGAAATAGCACGTAAAATTACACTAAGATTATTGTTTGTACATCTTATGATTAATGGAAATGTGTTGAATACAGTTATTTATTTGATTCATTGAATTTATTACGGTGGAGAGATGAATGTGAACGCTTAGGGTTTCTACGAGAGCCGGGCTTATATTATTTCAATTTGTGTTATAGCAATGTTGACGTATATCAGATTATTATGAATATGGAATTTAAATAAAAAATAGTCGAGCAAGAGAACGCTAAATTTATTCGATAAAGGAGTTGTGTATTTTTTTATTTTATTTTTTTACGTTCAAATCATACGATTTATGTTTTTTTTTTCAGTTGTACTATCGAATTTTTTTTACTTGGGGTTCTGGGGCTCGAGGAATTCCTGGGGAAAAAAGCCCAACTACTGATTTTTTTAAATTTTCTTTTATGTAATTAAAATATCTTGAGAACGAGTGAGAGAGGAGAAATTGTTGAGAGGATTGCCGATGTAATGTGTAGCGAAAGTGTGTAAGACTGGTAAATAATTGTCGGTATGTTAAATTAATTATTGATTGTTAATACTCATTGGAAGGCTGAATGGAGAACAGTATCGCCGATGTTGCTTTCTGATTGTTGGCCATAATCTAATCATAATAGAGAAAATTGAGATAAATGAATCTGTAATGATGGATCTAAATAAATCGACATTAATTAATTCAGAGTGTAACGTAAAATTGACATTTCCAATTAATACTTCCGGTCGTTATCCATGAAGAGAGTATATTCCATACTTCATACCTTTTCTCTCTCGTTTCTTCAGTTTCATTGATTGCAAATAGACGACAATCTGTTTTCTCTTTAAAAGACATTTTAAAAGTTGAATTGATATTGTTAAATTCTCAATAATTAATCTTAATTGTCAGTTTTTTCTTCATTTTTCATCAGGAATTAACTGATACCCTTTGCTGGACAAGGTGATGTCCTCAGGAAGATATGATTTCTAAAAATAATAAAATAGTTCTCATATATTCCAGATAATTCCATCGAAGAAATCTCCAGTGGCTTTGACAAGCAGAAAAAACAAAAAATTTAACGACTAGAATATCAATTTCTATTATTATTCATACGTAAATCCATTAGTCTTTCATTATTTTTACCAAATTTACAGTGACTGATGAATTTCAGGACAGGACAGTGAATTTCCTGCTGTCAAACCCCCAGAAAAATCATCTCTCCTATTTTTTTAGGCTGATTACTCATCAGATATCGTTTTTAATTTTGGGTAATGCCAAAAATGGATCATTCTACCAATTCCAGTCCGCAAATCCGACTTCAATATTATCGATTTTTATTTGTGCTCTTCCGATCATTCGTGTCTAGAAAACGAGATTTCCCAATTATGGAAGGTCCACCGCTTCAATTAATCGGGTTTCACATGATTCGCCATTTTTATTTTGAAATCGTTCGCCCAAACCTAAAGTATTCAAAAATGTTTGAAAAAAAAAAATAAAACATAATTTTTCGTTTTTCGATTTTCCAAATTTCGAAAATGATAGTCATTTTATGCCACATGTCGTTCTCATAAAAAAAAATGGAAAATAAAACTTAAAACTTGAACTTGACCATGTTCTCCATCTTTTTTTGGACATCAGATTTTTTTCGGAAAATTCTGAAAATTTCCGGTCCATCATCCCCTAGTCATATTTTTTTAAATAAATTAACCATTTTTTTAATGTGATATTCACGATTGCAGGTTGAACATCGAATTATCTCCATAATAAGCAGCTCTACGGGAAAATATAAAAAATCATTCATTCTGGAAGCTTTCCACTGTTATAAAGACAGTCTTCCATAACTTATTCCTGATAAAAACAATTAAACATTCAGAGGAATAATAAAAAAATAAAACAGTCCTGCAGTTGAAAGTTGCAAAGCTGAAGAAATGCGAGGAATTGAGCTAGTTTCGAAATTATTCTTTATTTATTCTATACATAAAAAAGAGTTTATTTATATATCCATTCATATTTTTGTCATCACGCCATTTTGTTACAAATGATGCTAATAGAAACCATAAATAGCTAGTGACTTCAATTATTCAATATTTCTTAGCCATCAGTTCACATTAAAAAAATTCCAAATAATTTTTTAGCCGATATCCTTCTACACTAAACCCAAAAGTTATTGCAAATTGATTTTTTATCATTAAAAAAACCTCTTCTTTAATTTCTACAATTTTGTATAAAAAAAATTTGTGTATAAAAAGACAAATAATTAGTAAATCATAATTACAGTCATGGCTTATTTATCTTCCTCTGTGTGAATATTGGCCAATGAAAAGTGTCGCGTTAATCTCTTCATAATTTCATTCCTCTGATACGCAACTTCTCTGTAGCAAAATTGTGAAAATGCCAGTGGACATTCGTATTTTATGGTTTCCACGCATTTAGTATCGTCTCCGACTTCCGAAAATGTGAATTCCGATAGTGAATTAACTGAAAAAAAATGCTCATCAAAAACAATCAGACACATAATGCTGGAATGTCAATTAATTGTTGCTTAATTTATAAAATATGATACGAGATGTAACGCACCACAATTGAAGCCATCGAAGAAACACGTCTGGTGATTCGACGTGATTTTGTATGAATTCCCGTCCTGCCTGATGGAGAAGTGCCCCTGTGCAATATTTTTTATCACTGGCATGTGATGCAAATGCTCTTTGTACTTAACTGAGTATTTCCAGTGATCGTAATTACCACTCTCTTGTATAATATCGAATTCCTCACTGAAAAACAAAAAAAGTCAATGAATTTTCTAATTTCAAATGTTATAGATTATCGATAGATTTAAAATGGCACTCACATTGTTGGATTTAATTTAATCATATTACTAAAATCAGCGACGAATTCCCAAACGCTCTCGGCTCTTGTGTTTTTTATGGTGAAATCAGAAACGAAATGATGATTTTTCTTGAATAAAAATATCATGTAGAAGCCAAAAATTCCGATGAAAAGATACCCTAGATTTCTTAATTTCCATTTCAGTGGATTTTTACCCATCACGACCACCAAAATGGTAAACAAAACTATAAAAATGGATTACAAAAATAGAATTCAAATGGAAATCACCGGAAATGGTACACGTAATGTTCAAAGAGGTAAGAAATAACGAAAATAAAATTTAAATTATGAAAACTTTGGGATTGGTTTGTCTCGGAGTCGTCAAACGTTCGTTGGAACTGATAGAATCGAAAAATGAGAGGAATCTCCGAAGACCTTCGGCAATCTCCGGACGACTTCCGCCTCCCCTGGTCCATTCGGTGGCTGTTTAGTCGTTTCTCGTTGCGATAATGAATACAAAATCCACTGGACACGGAACACGTGTTTCAAATTATTTCCCTCTTGTAAACAGTTCTCTGCGCATGCCCTGACTCCACAAATTTTTTCAATTTAAATTCTGCGCATTTTCCAAAAACATTTCCCCAAGGACCGAAAAATTCCTTCAAAGCAAAAATAAAACAAAGATAATTATTTATTGGTAAAAAATTCTTCAAATCTCCCAAAATAAATAAATTTTTATTGTTAAATAAATAATCTACGAATGCCAAACTACTAAAAGAAAATATTTATTCAACATTTTTTTTTACAAAATTCAAAATGTTTATTCAACGTTAATTAACAGAATATTAAATAGAGGTCTTACAATAATTTTGTACAATGTATTAATAGAACGTAATGGTGAATATCACAAGACGTTGAATTTTTTATTAAGAATGTGAAAAATATTTATACTCTGAATTGTTGAAACGAGTATTCGTCAAACTACTGGTTTTTGGATGTCTCACCCTT